TCCTTTTCGTTTAGTGGGGGCCTTTACAATTACTTTTCCTTCTCTAGGTTTCACACAGCGGCCCGCGTGGAATTCAGCATGTCATTTGGGATGTTAAAATTGTTGAATTCCAAGGGGAACGACATCAGAACGACATGAGAACGACATCTGCATAAGTGCTGAAGGGCCAAACCGTCTGGGGCCAGAACGACATCAGAACGACATAAGCACAATTAGCCAGTTGTGCTAGAATGACCGAGAGAAAGGGGGTGAGTTTTGCATATTTAATTTGTCAGCGCAGCCAGATGTCACCCACACACACTTGCAGAGCCCTGTTAATGACACGTCACAAGCAGATGAACATGCCAGGCATAGCAGCATGGATTAAAAGCTCCTTTGTCAAATACGGAACAAAGCAGCTGCCTGCACTTGAAACCTGAAAGCAGCTCCATGGATTCCATATGGCGGCCCGCAGGGAATTCATGGATTCAAGCGATTAGACCAAATATTTTAAATGTTTCGTTTTTTCCATGTCATTTGCGCAAGCCATGTTTCAAGATTGTGTCGCTTTCAGCCGCAAAACAGTGTCTGGAACAAAAACCGTTGTGCTTCACTTAGCATCTGAGCCCCCCCTGCAGGGCAGTTTATGTTGAGGACAACCAATATTTGTTACACTGTTGCTGTAGAAGGACGCTTGCTGCAAACAGCTTCATGAGCGCGCCCTGCAAGGCACTGATGCCACAGCACCTCGAGCTGTTTGGGTCCGTCAGCTCAGCAAGCCCCGCAAGGACTACAACTTTGATGCAAGCGTTGCATTCATGTCCCTGTTCAAGGACAGCAGTCAAAAGACAAGTGCTTGATTTCCTCAGTGCAGTGAAATGCTTGGTTTATGATGGGGCAGGTACTGAAGACTTCACGAAGACAACCAGTTGGTTTTGTTCGGAGCTCTTTTGAAAATTGCCGATGCCACACATGAAGTGACTCGCAGCGCTGGCGAAGTTCGAGGACGGCAAGGAGTTTGAGACCTTCGGCAACCCCTTTCAAGTCAAGGGAGTCTTGGCTAACGCAGTGCCCTCAGCTCATGAAGTATTTTCCTCAGCTTTGTTTTGCCTTCGGAAATGTTCCTTCACGCTTTGCGGGGAGGTGGATGACCTGAAAGAAGCCGCGCGCTTAGAAGTGGTGCGTTCCACCTTCCGCTTGACAGTACATAGTGCATCAGTTAACTTCTGACTGCTTCAGGGGATAAAGAACAAGGCAGAGCTCTCAATTCCATCGTTCAAGATGGATGTATACCGCCAGAAGGAGAGCGTTGCGTGTCGAAAAACACACCCATTTGCTCCATTCCCACACCTCACCCCCTTGCCGTGTCTCAGCTTCACTTTGCAGGACGGGGGCTGGGTGAAAGAAGAGAAGATGTCAGCAAGTCTTCGTGATACAGATGAGCCGAGCACTTGGTTTCGAATCCTTTCAGCTTTGGGTTTTGCAATCGTCCAGCTCTCAGGGCAGATTGCTATGGCTTCGTGCTACCATCAGCTGGAGTTGCGTCAGCGTAGGCCCCTCCCTTAGCAGCGCAGCATGATTTTACACTTGCGAATTTGCGTCGTTGCGGGCCTGATTTCGCTTTGGTCTCTTGCTATTCTGGACTGAGGCCAAGCAGGCATACATTGTTGTTTCACCTCGTGCAGAAGAAAAACGAGCACAGTCGCTTCGTTGCAGTGACTTAGCTTGACTTGAAGTGTTAGGAAGGCCCATGCTCACGTTTTTGAACATCCAGCTGTGGTGTTCAAGTCAAGCAGGGAATGCGTGCAACGGGTACAGGACCAGCCACAGTTGCCGGCGCTGGTCAACAGCCAGGCACTTGTTGTGCCTAAGTGCACAGGTGCAATACCAAACAATTTGAAGACGTGTGGAGGAAAGCGCGCTTGCCCTGCCTTGCTGAACCGCTCAACTGCAAACGTGCTTTGGAATGCCACGTGTATAGCAGTTGTTTGTTTCGGTCCAAGTCCAAGTTTAATCAAAAAGGGGGAAACAGCGCTTTGAGCACGTACCCGGAGAACATGAGAGAAATTCATTTGAAACAATGTTGCTAAGCACATACATTTGCACATCAGGGCCGGGCGGCGGCCCCTGCGAATCTTGTAAGCGAAGAGTCCTGTGGCATGCGAGCACTGGTAACTCCGCAGACCATGTTTTTTGGCCAAGGAGGGGTACAGGCGAGCCCCGACAGTGATCAGGGTGGACTGATGCCCTGCAGCATCCTGGGCGTCCACCGCATCGAAGGCTCGCACCTGGGCAGGGGTCTTTTCTGTTGTGGTCACACTAACAAAGGCAGATTCACAAAACCTGCAACTAACCGGCCTGGCTGACGCGCTCCAAGCTTTCCACTGGCGGCTTTGAATGCGGCTTGATGTCCGTCTCAGGCAAGAAGTGCAAGTGTACTCGACCATGTGGATGAATGGCCGAAGGTCTTTCGAAAAAGAGCTGAGCCCAGCGGAGCCTCGCAGTGCCCTCGCGACGCACCTTCCAGCGAAGCAGCGTGATCCCATCAGCCTCCCGGTCTCCTCTGAGGCCTGTGGACGCAGCGGCGTCTGTGGACGGATCAGTCTGCAAATTGCACCACCATGGGACGCGCTGCATGCAACATGTTCTGCGACCTGGTTCAATGTAGGCACAGCTCCGCGCGGGTAGTAATACTTCAGAGCGGAAACCACGGTGGCCAGGGGGAGACGTGTGGGAGGCAGGGAAGAGAACACGCAGCAGTCATAGTCCTTGCGGCAGGTCCAGCAGCTGAAGAGCAGCCTGCCCTGCCCGCGGCGCACACATCACTGCCACTTCGCCATGTGCAACTTCTTGCCGCATCCGCAAACCGGATCCCAAGCCCAGCCGGCTTTCTTCAACTCCGGCAGGTCAGCACGGACTTCTGGAACTGCTTCCGAGGCCTGGGGGCCCAGGGGCTCGGAACTGGCTCCTGCGATTTCTGGCTGCTCGGTTTGTCTTCTTGGCTTTCTCACTGTGCAGAGCACTCAAGACCTTCTTCACGAAGGAAGCGCACGAGGTCGCGTAGCGGCCTTTGTGGCCGCACCACGTGCACTGAGGCTCGGCCTTGGATCCTCTCTTGCGTTTCGGCATGCTCGGGCGTTCGGATCCCTGGGGCATTTAAGCCAAAGCGGGTTGACATTTCAAGCCAGGAAGGCAGCATTGACAAGTGCCCCGTACATGCCGGAAGCAGCGCGCCGTTTCTCCTGTGTCGCGTGCCTGTCTTTGTTCTGGAAAACATCTCAAAAACACACTGCAACACGCAGACTCCGGATCCCGTCTGGCGGCATGGCAGCACTCATACTCCAGAAGCTCCAAGCACACAGCTGACAAACATGCTAGCGTCTCAGAAGTCAGCCGCTCCCACATCCTCGAAGCCCGGAACAAAGTTGGCCTCAGCACGGGCTATAGAGTATCCAGCGCCGCGAATGATTCACGTCGCGCAGTTCGGATGACTTGCAGCCTCAGAAGTACAAGACATGCCTGCCAAGAGGCCCGAAAAAGGCAGAGAGGTTTCCCTGCGCGTTGGCTGCTGCTCCTAAACAAATACCAAAGGCGCATCTCTCGTACGCTTCTGTTGTTTCTCAAAGGGGTGCGCAGGTGCTCAGGTCCAATACCAGCAGGCAGCGCTCGGAAGCGAAATCCCAACCGTCCGCACCGAACGCTCCCATCCCGAAGCACAATCCCACTGCCAGGCAGCGGACCGCATCCCACCGGCACGGCTCCGTCCGCGCCTGCGAACACTCCGGGATTTGGTCTCCGAGCGCCACTTGGCGGTGGCCGTGCCAGTGGGATGGTGCTTCCGGGATCGGAAGGTTCGCGAGTGCGGACAGAGCCGTCGCCGGGATTTGGTTTTCGAGCGCTGCTTGCGCGGGCGCGGCCGGTGAAACTTGGTCTCCACTGCCTGGCAATGGCCGTGCAGTGGGATTGCGCTTCTGGAGCACTCGCGGGTGCGGATTTGGTTTCCGAGCGCTGCCTGGCGGTCGCCGTGCCAATGGGATTGATAAAGACCTGTTGCACTGCTCCTAGCTTTTGCTTTGCAGGGAGGTGGATGACCTGAAAGAAGCCATGGAGCGGTGCATTCCACCTTCCGCTTGACTGTACATAATGCATCAGTTCACTTCTGATAGCTTCAGGGCATAAAGAACAAGGCAGAGCTCTCAATTCCATCGTTCAAGATGGATGTATACCGCCAGAAGGAGAGCTTTGCCCGTCGAAAATCACGCTCCACCCCTCTTACCGTGTGTCAGCTTGACTCTGCAGGACGGGCGCTGGGTTAAAGAAGAGGAGATGTCAGCAAGTCTCCGTGAGACAGACGAGCCGAGCACTTGGTTCCGATGCCTCTCATCTCCGGGACTTGCCGTCGCCCAGCTCTCAGGGCAGATTGCTATGGCTTCGTGCGACCAGCTGGACCCGTTTCTGAATAGGCGCCTCCCTCAACAGAGCAGCCTTTTGCATTTGTGAACTTGCGTCGTGGCCAGACTATTGCTGGCTGTTGTCACTTGCTGTTCTCGACTGAGGCAATGCTGGCACGCAATGTTTCACCTCGTGCAGAAACATGCAGGGGCAGTGGCCTTGTTGCAGAACGACTTTGATTGACTTGAGGGGCAAGGGAGGTCAACGTTCACATGTTTGAACATGAAGCTGCTGTTTTCAAGACAAGCAGAACATGTGCGCGCAACGGGTACCGGACCAGCAACAGTTGCCGGCGCTGGTCATCAGCTGTTCCACCGAGGCATTTTGCCTTGTGCCAAAGTGCGCAGATGCAGTACCAACCATTGAGGATCTGCCCTGAACTGGTAGTGCATCTGCTTTGTTGAATCTTTACTTTCGGGAAAAGTAATCAGCCCAGTAAGCATACTTGTATAGCGCTTTTTTCGATGCAGTTGTCCGCGGTGACTTGGGCAAAGATTAGAGTGGACATCTCTTTCTTCAAACCTCATGTCATGTTGGTCATTCAGCTGGCTTGAACAAATGTTTTGCATAGATCGGCTCAATGCCCAAGCCTTGAACAAGTCGCCAAGGCCTTTCCATAAACATGTGTTGAAGCCGTTCCTCAAGCCATGAGAAACGGTAAGTGGCGCCATGGGCGTGGTGCGATTTGGTGCATGCTGCTTGCCTGTGGTGTTGGGTGCTTCGTTGCACCAGCACGTGTGGGGTTGTACAGAGTGCGCCCGCAACGATGCCAAGCATGCCTCTGCCTGTCGCTGAAGAATGTGAGCTTTTGGGAAGTTGCCGGTGCGGCAGCCAATGCGACCAACAGCGCAACAGGTTCATACCTCGAAGAGGTCAACCGTACAGCCACAAAGTTTCTGCAGAGCAGAGCTGCAGTAGATCGTGAGGATGCTGTTGCCAACCTCAGCAAACACATGACAATACAAGGTAAGCTTTGCCTCGTGCTTGGGGGTAGAAACCTGGGCAAAACATTGCTCAAGGAAAAAGCTATTTCCAGACTAAAGGCAAATGTAAACATCCTTTCGGTCGACATGCGGGACGCAGACATGCTGGGCAAGGGTTTGATGACAGCACTCGACTTGCAACGGCAGAATTCCCTTGGGTGGGCACGTTTGGCGGTGGAGATGTTGCGCGCAATTATCCAGCTCCCTGTCGACTACGCTCTGAGCAGAATTCGTGGGGCTGGAGCGGCGGCGAAGGAAGTGCTGGATGTCGCAGTATCACGTCATCAAATCAACGTCAACAACTTCATCTCCCAGAGCATAAGCCGTCGGAAGATTCCGAGCATCATCATCGATGATGCAAACCTTGCACTGCCTGGAATTACGGGAGAAGATGGAAGCGCTGCGGCTAAATCAGCTCCACAAGCCATCACAAAGTGGACAAAACAGACAGGCCAAGCAAGTGTGATGATGATATCTTCAGAGTTTGGCTATCCGTTTCGTCTGCTAGCAAACGGCTTAGCCTTGAGCACCATTGGCAGGGTGATTGTGATTGGCGAGGTGCCGAAGTATGACATGCTGAAGATGCTGCAGGAAGATTGGGGCATGGACGCAGACTTGGCAAACATATTCTACAAGTATTTTGGCGGTGACATCTACACCACCAAGCAGGCTCTCGACATGCTCATGGACAAGAAAGATAAGTTCAACCCATTTGCAGTTGTGGATTGCCCTGGCTTACCATCCTGTGTAGAAGATCCGGAGGCGATGGCGCACCTCGAGAACATGGCGAAACAAGGCTTTTCGCCCGTGCGAAATGTCAAGACAGACAAGGGTGCGAGGATGATAGCGGAGGAGAATGTCGGGGGTGTGATTAAGGAGGGTGCCATCACCTTCGGTTTGCCCGACATCTTCACAAACACGTCCTGTGAGTGGGCAGTCATTCCGTCTTCCTACCACATGCGCCTCAAGATTGCCGACAAGCTCAAGAACATCTTTCCATCAGGACGGCCGGGGGCAAGCCGACTTGGAGCTCTTCTCATTTGCACAAGACATGTTTCAAGATTGTGTCGCTTTCAGCCGCAAAACAGTGTCTGGAAAAACACCCGTTGTGCTTCAAATCGACTTAGCATTTGAGCCCCCCCTGCAGGGCAGCTTATGTTGAGGACAACCAATATTTGTTACACTGTTGCTGTAGAAGGACGCTTGCTGCAAACAGCTTCATGAGCGCGCCCTGCAAGGCACTGATGCCACAGCACCTCGAGCTGTTTGGGTCCGTCAGCTCAGCAAGCCCCGCAAGGACTACAACTTTGATGCAAGCGTTGCATTCATGTCCCTGTTCAAGGACAGCAGTCAAAAAAGACAAGTGCTTGATTTCCTTCTCGTATGGTCTCTCGTATAATTGCCGAACCCCCATAATGCAAGGCAAATGGGATTTGCAGCGGTCCTCAAGCGTTTCTTTCCTCACTTTTGTGTTCTGGGCCACTGCCGGGCAACGGATGAAATTTGCCTAAAGTGGTTTGCAGTGCTTGTGGAGTTGGAGGACGGCGAGGAGTTGGAGTTGATTGGCAACGCGTTCAAAATTACTGCAAGTGTTGTAGATGTGCCCACCTCAGCTGCGATTTCTTTTTCGGATTCACGCTTCGCGGGGATGTCAGGTGGATGACCTCAAAGAAGCCATGCGCTCAGAAGCGGGTTGCGTTGGTTCTTTGTCCGTTCTTTGAGACCGTTGTATTCTGATAGCTGGAGGCAATTGAGAAGAAGGAGAAGCTGACCATTGCAGCATCCAAGATTGATGTATACCGCCAGAAGGAGAGCTTTGCGTGTCGAAAAACACACCCATTTGCTCCATTCCCACACCTCATCCCCTTGCCGTGTCTCAGCTTCACTTTGCAGGACGGGGGCTGGGTGAAAGAAGAGAAGATGTCAGCAAGTCTTCGTGATACAGATGAGCCGAGCACTTGGTTTCGAATCCTTTCAACTTTGGGTTTTGCCATCGTCCAGCTCTCAGGGCAGATTGCTATGGCTTCGTGCTACCATCAGCTGGAGTTGCGTCAGCGTAGGCCCCTCGCTTAGCTGCGCAGCATGATTTTACACTTGTGAATTTGCGCCGTTGCGGGCCTGATTTCGCTGTGCTCTCTTGTTCTCGGCTGAGGCCCAGCAGGCATACATTGTTGTGCAGAAGAAAACAAAAATGAGCACAGTCGTTTCGTTGCAGTGTGACTCTGCGTGACTTGAAGTGTTAGGAAGGCCCATGCCCACATTTTTGAACATCAATTGGGGTTTTGTTTGTTAATGCGCTTGATTTTGACGTTCAGGTCCTAGGCGGTTTTGGTTTGAATGCGCAGCGTGTTGCGTTTGGTGGCATGTGCTTGGGTTGCGGGCATGTTCATGTTTGAAAATCAGCTTCAAGATCGAGTGAACGCAAATCTGGATGGCACCACCCTGCACGTGCGCAGATACGCAAGAACTGAGCACAATATTTATCCTGTCATGTGCCGCCTTCATGAACCATAAGAGTGAACCAAAGATGTGCATGCGACACATGAAGGCTCATTGTCCCGCCCAGTCGTTCCACAACAAGTTTGTTCACGATACGCGATGTTGCGAGAACGCCATCGGCGCGGCACATTGGCGTTTGTGCTTTATGCGAGTATTCTTGGGTGGTGCTTTGTGGCACCACGGACAGAAATACCCGCCCAATTGCGCGTTGTCCTGTCCGTGCTGCGGGTGGTGGAAACAAAATGTGGCAGCATTTCTGGGGAAGCTGTCAGAAAAGTGGGTGGCACATCAAGACGATGTTGATGGCCTACATCACAGAATTAAAGACGCGTGCTTTGGTCAGCACTTGAATTCTAGCCAAGTGGTCATAGAGATGAAAGCGTAAAGGCCCCTGGTTACCAGCCATTGGATAGCCAGGATTGCTCACACTGGTGTTGGGGGGCAAATGTGTGTGATGGGGCAAAATATCAGGGAAAAACGTTCTTAAAACAGGCCGCACTACGGAGACATTGAGCTCCAACGTTGAGTGGTGGTCTCAGCAGATTATGCGGAGACATGCCAGGCACGAGTCTTGTTGGATGCCATCCTCTTGACTGCCAACAAGACATTGAAGGAGATAGCTGGTGACAACGATTTCAGTCAATACGTTCCATCTGTGTTGGGCATCATATCCTCTGCTGTGTCCGCAATTGAGGGCCTTGGCCCGGCAGCGAATCCGGTGGGCACCTTCATGAAAGACATGGCTGCAATTGCAACCAGCAGGAGAATAGTTCGGTCGGCAATCGATGCTTTTCTGAGTAGGGTGAGAGCTTCTTCGAAGAGAAGCGCCGTCGTTGTGGATGAGGCCAACCTGGGTCTGCCCGGGCTGACAAACGGACAGGATGGAGGAGAGAGGGGCGAAGCCAAGTCTGCCTTGGCAGCCATCACAGCTTGGACAAAACAAGGCAAGCTGACAAGCGTAGTGCTTATTTCATCAGAATTTGCTTACCCTTTCCGCCTGCAGGCAACAGGATTAGACCTCAGGGACATTGGGAGGGTGATTGTGATTGGCGAGGTGCCAAAAGTTGCCATGCTGAAGATGCTGCAAGATGACTGGGGCATGGATGAAAACTTGGCAAACATGTTCTACACGTATTTTGGCGGTGACATCTACACCACCAAGCAGGCTCTCGACATGCTCATGGACAAGAAAGATGCCTTTGACCCTTTTGCAGCTGTGAGATGCCCTGGCTTACCATCCTGTGTAGAAGATCCGGAGGCGAGGGCGCACCTCGAGAACATGGCGAAACAAGGCTTTTCGCCCGTGCGAAATGTCGAGTCAAGACAGACAAGGGTGCGAGGATGATAGCGGAGGAAAATATTGGGGGCGTGATTGAGAAGGGTGCCATCACCTTCGGTTTGCCCGACATCTTCACAAACACGTCCTGTGAGTGGGCAGTCATTCCGTCTTCCTACCACATGCGCCTCAAGATTGCCGACAAGCTCAAGAACATCTTTCCATCAGGACGGCCGGGGGCAAGCCGACTTGGAGCTCTTCTCATTTGAGCCGGGGAAAACACAACCGCTCCTTTTGGTTTAGTGGGGGCCTTTACAATTACTTTTCCTTCTCTAGGTTTCACACAGCGGCCCGCGTGGAATTCAGCATGTCATTTGGGATGTTAAAATTGTTGAATTCCAAGGGGAACGACATCAGAACGACATGAGAACGACATCTGCATAAGTGCTGAAGGGCCAAACCGTCTGGGGCCAGAGCGACATCAGAACGACATAAGCACAATTAGCCAGTTGTGCTAGAATGACCGAGAGAAAGGGGGTGAGTTTTGCATATTTAATTTGTCAGCGCAGCCAGATGTCACCCACACACACTTGCAGAGCCCTGTTAATGACACGTCACAAGCAGATGAACATGCCAGGCATAGCAGCATGGATTAAAAGCTCCTTTGTCAAATACGGAACAAAGCAGCTGCCTGCACTTGAAACCTGAAAGCAGCCCCATGGATTCCATACGGCGGCCCGCAGGGAATTCATGGATTCAAGCGATTAGACCAAATATTTTAAACGTTTCGTTTTTTTTCCGTGTCATTTGCGCAAGCCATGTTTCAAGATTGTGTCGCTTTCAGCCGCAAAACAGTGTCTGGAACAAAAACCGTTGTGGTTCAAATCGACTTAGCATCTGAGCCCCCCCTGCAGAGCAGTTTATGTTGAGGACAACCAATATTTGTTACACTGTTGCTGTAGAAGGACGCTTGCTGCAAACAGCTTCATGAGCGCGCCCTGCAAGGCACTGATACCACAGCACCTCGAGCTGTTTGGGTCCGTCAGCTCAGCAAGCCCCGCAAGGACTACAACTTTGATGCAAGCGTTGCATTCATGTCCCTGTTCAAGGACAGCAGTCAAAAGACATGTGCATGATTTCCTTCTCGTATGGTCTCTCGTATAATTGCCGAACCCCCCATAATGCAAGGCAAATGGGATTTGCAGCGGTCCTCAAGCGTTTCTTTCCTCACTTTTGTGTTCTGGGCCACTGCTGGGCAACGGATGAAATTTGCCTAAAGTGGTTTGCAGTGCTTGTGGAGTTGGAGGACGGCGAGGAGTTGGAGTTGATTGGCAACGCGTTCAAAATTACTGCAAGTGTTGTAGATGTGCCCACCTCAGCTGCGATTTCTTTTTCGGATTCACGCTTCGCGGGGATGTCAGGTGGATGACCTCAAAGAAGCCATGCGCTCAGAAGCGGGTTGCGTTGGTTCTTTGTCCGTTCTTTGAGACAGTTGTATTCTGATAGCTGGAGGCAATTGAGAAGAAGGAGAAGCTGACCATTGCAGCATCCAAGATTGATGTATACCGCCAGAAGGAGAGCGTTGCGTGTCGAAAAACACACCCATTTGCTCCATTCCCACACCTCACCCCCTTGCCGTGTCTCAGCTTCACTTTGCAGGACGGGGGCTGGGTGAAAGAAGAGAAGATGTCAGCAAGTCTTCGTGATACAGATGAGCCGAGCACTTGGTTTCGAATCCTTTCAGCTTTGGGTTTTGCAATCGTCCAGCTCTCAGGGCAGATTGCTATGGCTTCGTGCTACCATCAGCTGGAGTTGCGTCAGCGTAGCCCCCTCCCTTAGCAGCGCAGCATGATTTTACACTTGTCAATTTGCGTCGTTGCGGGCCTGATTTTGCTTTGGTCTCTTGCTATTCTGGACTGAGGCCAAGCAGGCACGCATTGTTTCACCTCGTACATTAAAGCGGGCACAGTCGCTTCGTTGCAGTGTGACTTCGCTTGACTTGAAGTGTTAGGAAGGCCCATGCTCACATTTTTGAACATCCAGCTGTGGTGTTCAAGTCAAGCAGGGAATGCGTGCAACGGGTACAGGACCAGCCACAGTTGCCGGCGCTGGTCAACAGCCAGGCACTTGTTGTGCCTGCACAGGTGCAATACCAATCAATTTGAAGACGTGTGGAGGAAAGCGCGCTTGCCCTGCCTTGCTGAACCGCTCAACTGCAAACGTGCTTTGGAATGCCACGTGTATAGCAGTTATTTGTTTCGGTCCAAGTCCAAGTTTAATCAAAAAGGGGGGACAGCGCTTTGAGCACGTACCCGGAGAACATGAGAGAAATTCATTTGAAACAATGTTGCTAAGCACATACATTTGCACATGCATTTGCACATATCTAGAAGTACAACAATGCATTAACATCCGTACGCCACGATTACCGCCGCACTTTTTCTCATCTCCAAGCCCGACCGCGTGCAGCGGTGCGTGTCAGGCATGCCTTCGCTTGAGTGCCTTGCCGGTTTGCGCCATTGCAGCGCGTACTGTTTGATCTGGGGGTTCAAGGAGCCTCAGCATCAGAGCCAAGCAACCATCACAAATTTAGTTTTGAAATCAGCGCAACTTAGAATGTGTTCTTTCCAGGTTTGAATCCCAGGAGCCTGTCTTGGTACTTTTCGATGCCAGGCGGTGAGGAAGGCTTTGCTTCAAGAGCCGCCATGTGCTATCGATATGCCCCGTGTGAATGCGCAGGGCCGGGCGGCGGCCCCTGCGAATCTTGTAAGCGAAGAGTCCTGTGGCATGCGAGCACTGGTAACTCCGCAGACCATGTTTTTTGGCCAAGGAGGGGTACAGGCGAGCCCCGACAGTGATCAGGGTGGACTGATGCCCTGCAGCATCCTGGGCGTCCACCGCATCGAAGGCTCGCACCTGGGCAGGGGTCTTTTCTGTTGTGCCCATCCGGCATCCTTCCCCTGCAAAGTACACACAGAGCTTCTTTTCGCCTTCTCTGCCCTGACTGCTCACCACTTTCTCGTCCGTCTTTGAGGCCGATGCCATTCTGCGTCGGTGTGACGTCCACCTCCAGGCTGTTTCTGAACAAGCTCAACCTGAAGTGGGCCTGGCTTCCCTCCTTGGCCATCCCGTTGGTCATGCCATCCAGCGCCCTCAGCAACAGCGAGGGATCCAGCATCGCCAGCTTCAGTTCCATGGCACAAATGTACCACCTCCGCCATTGCCGCACCGCCGCCGGCGCCGTGTTCCCATTCACCTTTGGCTCCAGCAGGTAGTTGAGGAGGCTCTGCCTTTCCGCCGGCCCCCTGGCTGTCCCCTGGGGCAACGCCCGAAGCAAAAGCCCAGCTCCGCGTTGCTCACACCGACTCCATATTTGTTTCGCTCCACTGACTTCTCGTCTCCTTTCTTGAAACAGGATTACCTTTACCTTTATCAAATGCCCTAGCAGAATCACCTTGGGTTCTTGCGGTTATGCTTTTCGTTCAATATAATATTTGATCTAACTTGAACCGCGCTATCCAATGGTGAGCCGTACTCGTTGACATTTTTGTTGTGCTATGTGTTTCGCTGTTGTACTATCTTACTGATGCTTCCATCATCTGAACCCATGTCTTATCTTTGTGCTTTCTCAATCTTTCTGTGATCATCTTTTTCACCGTCCTGATCGCCCTTTCTGCTTGATGCATAAGGATGATTGTGAATGCAACTGCTGCACCTCGCTCAAGCTGCTGGGTTGATGCACCCGTGGCTTTCCTCGGCCTTGCCATTCCTTCAGCAGGGAATGGCCGCTAGCTTGCCTTGGCTCTGCCTTTTCCCTTCTTGGCGTGGTGGTCACTGTTCTGTTCTTCTGTGAGGCGCTCCTCTCCCCCGCTGCGGGGTCGTCTCTTTCTTCTGGGGTGGACTCAGGCCTTGCGGCTCCCCTTCACTCGTGCATGAGTGATTCCGATCGGGTGGTGAACGCCCTCGGTGCTGCCTCTTTTGCTCCCCCGAGCGCTCCTGCCTCGGGCACTCAGTGCCCAGCTCATTGCCTGGCTTTGTGTCGTCGGCTTACTTCTGTGGCCGGTTTTTTTCTAAGTCCCGTGCTGAGCTGGCACCTCGGCTCGTGCTTTCCTCGTGCCCCTCAGTGAGCTCCGTGGCATTGTGGGTGCGGTCAGCCGTCTACCACTCCTTTCCGTCCCTGGCCGAGGCCCAGGTTTTCTGCTGCACGTCGGGGGTTGGCTTTTCCTTGCGGCCATCCATGATGGCCGTTTTCACTTGGCCAAGTTTTGTGCGGGACTTCCGTGGAATTTTGACTATCCCTGTGCTTCATCGGGATGGCGGCCTTCTCTTGGCGCTCCCAAGCAGGTCCCTCTCTCCCGAGGCGGCCACGTCGGCCTCAGACGAGCGTTGGGCAGATGTCCTGGGCCCGCATACCTTCATTACGGCCCAGGCTTGCTGCGACCTTGATTCAGGTACTTCTCGTCTCAGATCTACCGGCCTCCGTCTTTCGACCTGTGGGGTTTCCACCCGGACAATATCCAGACATTCCCCCTGTCCCAAGGTCTTCTGTCAGCTGCCAACCTGTGTCATCCATCTGCTCTCGCTGCTCCGCGGCTTGAGCTCGAGGATCGGCTTTTGGGTTCGAGCCCAGGCGTCAAGAACCCATGAGCTCCCTGATCTTGCGCTGCAGGTAGGGCCCATTTAATTTCCTCTTCCAATATGCCCTTCGGCACTTCCAGGAACATCTCCTTCAGCTTCAGTTTCAGCAGCGACTAGGGAACGTCCACCCCCAATCCACTTCTCGCGCTTCAGTTAGTTGTCATCACCTCCTGCGCTGGACACTCCTCCAACACCCGCTTTTGGTCAATCTGCCATGCCTCACCTTCCACTAGAGCGCCAGGCCCACGATGTACACCTTGTCGGCACACCTCATCGGCCGGTTCCTGCCGAACTCGGGGCTCATGAGCATGAGCTTTTGAAGCTATGGAAGGCAGGCAGTCAATATTTTTGGCTGTCACCCATGTTTTCGCAGTTCGCTGAGGTTGCGGTCGGAATGTCGAATCATTTTCTTGATCTCTTTGACATCATTGCGAATTGCCACCAACTTGTTCGTTGCTACGAAGTGAAAACTCCAAATTCCCAGTGGATTGTTCAACCTTTTGGGTGTTTTTCTTTCCAGCCGTATAGGTCCTACAGGGTCGGCCTCGACGCTCTGCCAGGCCATCGCTGAGGCACTGAAGATCAACAGAACCATCGTGCTGATCGAGCTTGACTTGAACGACATCGCTGACGCAGGCGCCGAGGCGTGGCCACGGGCGGGTCGAACTTGTGGAGGTCGCATCTAGAAGTGTGAGGAACAATCGGCTTGCAAAATATCTTCAGTTTGGGTCACGATTCTTGTTGACTGCCCGAGATGTACCCAAACTTCCGGATGATGGGGGCTGGGAAGTGACATCGGAAATACAGCTTTATTTTCTTTACCTGGCCGATTGGATGATTGGTATGTTAGGACAACCGCATGTTTGACCAGCACGTGGAATATAATAGTTTAGATGCATTGGGAAAAAGTGCTGGTTTTAGTCTAGAGTCTCGATTGGATTTCTAGGATCCAGCCGAGCTCTTTGAAAGCTTCCTGCTTCCGGTTTCCGCTTGGGTCACAGCAGCCAGTGGCGCTTGAGAGTTTCGTAGATCTTCATATAGCTTCTTAGCTTGCGAAAGATGCGATGAAAGGAGCGTCGCGGGACCTTGAGTATATGTTCAACCTCCATCATTGGCTCGTGTGCAAACCTGCGCTTCTTCATGAATTTGAGTTGGTACTTGACCTGTAATTTTGCCAGACCCTATGACTCTGTTGCTCTAGGATGGGCGGTAAGCAGGCTCAAGAGCAACATCTCACATGATTTCTCAACGTTTGCGGCCCGCATCGGAGCGGCAGATCTGAATTGCCAAGCTTCTCAAACTTCTTTTTTCAACGAGTGCGCCCCAGGCTCAGTTTTGGTGCCCAATTTCTTCAAGGTTGACGACTTTGGTGTTCGAAGTTTGGGTGCCTCCCGCAGCGTTTGAACCATTATCGTCGTGATTTCGACCACGTTGTCAGCTTGCACGTGGCTCCATGTCCTCCAACTCCTGGACCAAACAAGCCACTGCTCAGAGGCTTTGCGTTCACCGCTCACTCCTTGTGATGGCCATGATCTCCCTCCGCGAGCTTGCAGTAGACTATGCCCTCTTCACCTCCGACGTCAGGGCACCTTGGCAAACTTGGGCAACCTCGCCACAGCTCCATCATCAATCACCTGTTTCCCGCTTCGTTCTGCAGACCCTTGCATGTCTGCCCCGCCAAGGCGCAAAGCTCATTCCCTCACTCGGAGCGTTCGTGTCATTGCCACCTCCAAGCAGCTCCCAGCCGTCATTGTTCGCATAGTCATCCAGTCTGGTGCCGACTGCCGAGCTTCCGTGGAGGTGAACTCCGGAGCTGTCAGCCACCTCCTTCAGCTGGTGATTGAGCACCACCTCCTGCTTCTCTTGAGCCTTCTTCAGCCTCTTCTCTCCATCGTCCTTGATCTTGACGGCATTGTTGCCACCCTCCTCTTCATCCTTCTCCACCTCGCGTAGTTCCTCTGCCCTCTCTCGCATCCCTGCTACAGAGCTTTCCGGATCCTGCGGTCCCTCCATGTCCCTCCATCCTGCGGTCCTCCATGCAGAGCCTCAACCTCTAGACCTTGAGTTGCGTTTCCGCCTAGTCTGCCTATGATGGCTCGACGCTTTCAGGCCAGCAGCTCCACGAAGGTGTCAAGTCTCAAGTGGATGTCCAGGCGCGCGCACCCTGCGAGCGGGGCTGCCCGCTCTATCAAGGCAAAAGATGTCGGTGGCCCTCGCACATCCCTTCATGCCGTCAGAACGCTCAACTCGATCGGCCAGGCCTTCATTCCAACAAGGTGTCCAACACCCCAGGACGGGTCCGTCTGCTCAAGGACCGATCTCAAGCAAATGTTTGTTCCGATGATGCGGAGCTGTATCGTTGCCCCTTGTGCCAAATGCCACCCCCACTCCATCCCACTCCTCATCTCCTGGCTTCAGACCTGCCATTTGGCAGCGCTTTTTCTGTTCTTTTTCTTGAAGGAGCAGATCTTCTTCTTGCAGTCACCAGATTCTGAGGTGTCCAACGCCAAACCGAAAACCGAAGCTGGGGGTTTGATGGG